AAGAAGTTTGATCATGGTACCTCGCCGGTCTTCAAAGCAGCAATAGCTGCTTTACAAATGAGATAAAACCAGAAACAGTGAAGAACATAAAGAAGCAATAGTAGTCCATTGAATACATAATAGGCAGGAAAGGATCCAATAATAGATACTCCTTCGAATGTTATCGTGTAGAGTATTCTAGATGAGAGTATGAATTATTGAATGAATGAATGAATAATCTAATTTATTTACTTGTACGGATAATAGCAGATACGAGCGGCAAACCAAATGATGGCAAATATCACAAACAAAGCATCCGCAACCCATTTCGCTCGTGCATAGCGGGCCATTTTTGCACCCTAATAAAAAAGAAACTCGGTTAATTAGAGGGAGAAGAAAAAGAAAGATTTTGTTTGACAAAATTTAAACCTCTAGCCAATAGTCGGTACAATCATGTATGACAAGTACTAGTGAGCCAATACGCACAAAATTGGTCATATACGAAAATGAGAGCAGCATTATAGTAGCGATGTGATGAAGAAACATTTGTCTAAAGTCCTACCAATAAAACAAAATCACAAAAATACATTTTTCAATACAAATTTTTTTTTTGTACTTATACCTTTCGTTTAAAATCCATAAATGGAGAAAATAACACTGACCAGTAGAAAGCAAGTACGATCATATAGTACCAAAAGATGTCTGCCGTTAGAGGTTGATTAGGATAATTCAACCAACAATGACGCGTGTCCCATATCCAAGGCTTCTGAAAATACAAGGAATAAATACACATGCATACATCTATACGCTCACATGTTGAAGTGTGACAACACCGTAAATGAATGAACATAGGTAGAAGGTAAAACGCCAACAAGATTCACAAAATTTAGCCAGTGGAGTAACAGATGAATTGTGACCTATTGATAGTGATGAGCCATTATTACTGCTGGCAATTTGTTCTTGTTTATATGTTTGATTTACATCTGTTGATGTACAACGATTTGATACTGTTGTTGTTGTTGTTTTCATAGCTCTCGTTGTTTTTCTTGTAACTCTATCATGAATACCAAGTGATCGACCGATCGGTTTAGCAACATACCTAAGAAAAAAAGAATTTCAATATACTATGTAAGTTAAAATAAAATTTTCTTTTTTTTACCGTTCGAAAAGCACTCGTATCACATAAATTACGCCAGCTAATGGATATACATAAAGAAGATCGTTTGGATTCGCTAACTTGATGTGTTCCTCTTGTTCGAATCGAGCAAAATCTTTCCAAGTCGTATTTGCTGGCAGCCAAAAACGCTCGTTAAAGATGAGTGTCGACAATGCATTCATTTTTTAATAGAATAATTTTCTTTTTAGAAAGAAACGATGTGACATCACACTAATATGTCTTATTAAGTCATTATCTTACATCAAGGTACGCATAAAGAAAGAGAGATAACAGAGATAATGGGCAACATGAATGTTTCAAACATTTTGTTGTTCGTCAATATTGTGTACCCAATTGAAAAACGAAAATGAGGGAAGGGGATCATAATGATGGTCATAAAAAAAGAAGAACGAAGAGATGTAGATAGACTATTTATTTATCTAGATAGTAATGGTGTGGGTTAAAAAGAATATTGACATCAGCATCGTCACACCCACCCGCACCATATAGCTGCAGAAAAAACCTAAAGAATTTTTTTTTGTCTAGCGAATTGTTGAATACTGGATGCAATTCAAAAATGGATTCTCTTGACAACAGTTATCATGAAAAAGCTGTTAGTGCAATCTTTACTGGAATAAGATGTGAAACACGATGGATGTGTATGTATTGTAAATTACGGGATCCTGCAACATATGCTTTGGTTTCTGACTTCTAACGTACTGGTATATCCATGATGAAAGGTCTTATTCGATATACGTTATGATGAATTTGAAAAGGGAACCAAAGACAAGTATTTTGAATTCAATCTTCTTTCATAGTAATTATCACAGAAGTCTTGTTTCCTAAAATTTATAACAAAAGGAATGAAATGATTGACTTTATCGTATGAATAAACTTTAATAAAATGAAATCTTTTTCAAAATGAGACTTACGTAAATTCAATACAAAGCTTTTTTAATCATAGTTAGCATGACATTCTACCATATATTTCAATATAAACTTTTTTTTTAATATAAAATAAAATCAACGACACAAAGAAAAAAAAATTATCAACTTAAGAAATTGTATTATCGATTATGTTCTACGGTATATTTTCATCGTTATCGTTGATTTGTTCATTATTTAGTGAAGAAGTATTCCAATCATTCATATAATGTTCACTATTCATCAAATATACAAAAATAAATTTTAAGAATTGAATATGAATTTCTTTCTTTTTCCTATTACATTTTACTGATTTTTCATCTCCTTTTCCAATAATTGTATCAAATATTGGTGTATTAATATCAAGATGCTCAATAACAATACATAATAACTTATATTTAATTATAAGATGACAAAGAATCTTATGCCATTCTAAAGTTAATACCTCATTTTCTTTAATTGGCATAACATGTATTAGATTCGCCCTATTGAAGTAATCGTTAAAATGGATACCTAACAAAAATATTAAGTATGTATAGACGCTTCAAAAACTATAAGAGATTGCAGCAATAATCAATAGCATGTATACCAACATCTCCGATATATTATAAAGAATATATTCAGAAAGATTTTTCATATATAAAGACTCGAAATGAGCCGCCCAGGAGAGATTTTCCACGTCAGAAAACAGAAAAAAATCTGCTTTTTTAAATTTAAAGAGAAATTTCATTTGGTTCTTATTTTTCTGGATCCATTAAAAAAAAACAGATACAGTCATTGAAACTGAATTAATCGATCACAAATGACTACAATCAATTGAAATCTATCTTGAAAGTTGAAATATCGGATTTCAATCAGAACTACCCAGGTTGAAGACGTACGGCGGGAAACCACCGTATGCGGTGGATTTCTAGCGAATTCCGGGAGCAGGATTTCCAAATCGGTTCCGGTCTCCGTTTCCTGTTTAGTTCCCATCAGGGTGTGGGTGTGGATGTTTGGATGTGTATGCTCTGTTTTCTAACACCCATGCATCCACACCCACATCCACACCCTCTCATTGTAACCGCTGATTATTCCATAGTGCCACGTCCCGTGCAAAGCTCTATGCAACGGTGAAAACCGCAGGTTTCTATCACATTCGCTTCAAAAGTTATAGGCATTTTCGTGAACCGCCTTTTTTTCAAAAAACGATAATAATATGTTACATTCTGATATTGGAAAAAGAAAATTTTGAAAATATCATTTTTATCCTGAAAGTAATAGTTTATTTGAAAATTTTTCAAGAAATGAAATTCATCACAAATTTAGTGAATGTTCCCAGAACAATAGCAATATCGAAAATACTTTCTCATTAAATCAATGTTATTTGGACACATGTTTGTTTGATGAAAATGAATTAATCTTATTCGATAAATTTCAAATATTATCTCGTTCATTTTTCTTTGAAAACTTTCAAAAATAAATTATTTATTTAGTTTCATCTCAAATTATTTTTATTCGTTTACTTATGCATCGTTGTAAATGACTTCGACGATCCACTATCATTTATGAAATCTCTGATCTATCAAATAATGCAAATTATTCAATTCGACATGTAGAAATAGATTTATTACAAGATAGTAAAGATTTGATTTCATTTTACAAATAATATTTAATGAGATTTTCTTTTTAAAGTTGCACGATTAGATGATCTTGATGCAAGTTTTCATTTATTAAATAATGATAAAATATGTGATTTTTGTAAAATAAGACAATGCTTCGTTCAACAATAACAAATCACGATTATCTATTATTGAACGAGTTTGATATTTAATCAAAATTTTCGAATAATTAATTTTATTATTCAGATTAAAACAAATACTAATTGAAAATGCATTTACTCTTCTGTCAAAAGGATTTTTTTTTTGTTAATAAAAATTTATTTAGATATACAAAATATTTTAAATAACTCGTGAATAACTCAAACTGTAAGATAAATTAATTAATGAACTTAAAATCTTCTGTTTTCACCTGATTATGTTCGTGCTCGAAATTTTATCTTGATTTACTGAAGTATTACAATTAGCATAAGATTATAAAATGCTGAAAGAAGTTAGATTTAATTTAAAAATAAAATTTTTGATCTTGTAAACCAGATTGAAGTTACTAGTCGTTTGTTTCGAAGAAGTAACAAGGTTAATTAGAGAATTTCAGCGTGAAAATGATCGTGAAAATATATTTAGAATATTCAAAGAAATTGCCAAGAAAAATTGGGAATTATTTCCAACAAAACCAACATTATTAGTAAGAATATTTATTCTCTTATTTCTTATTTTGGGTGTGGGTATAGATACTGTCTTCATCCACACCCACACCCTATTATATCAAATACCATCGAAGGCAGATAATGAACCATTTTAATCGACGCCGTCGTAGTCAAATGTTGAATGTGGTTTGCATTTTTGATGACACAATGACTTCATTTATTTGAAATGTTTTTTTTTTATAGTGAATTACGAAATATTTTGTTTGTCATCTTACAATAATATCATCAAGAAGAATCTTTAGTACAAAAAAAAATGTTTTCTGATGTTATCTCATCAGGAATATTTAGACTACGTGCAACGGGTGAATTATAAAGAAATAATGTGATAAAATTTTTCTTTATTCTTTTAGATGCTTATTTTCAGCTGTTATTGGTGGTATTGTTTGAAGAATTTCAAGTAAATTTTATGTCAAATACGAAACAACTTGACCACTGTCGATGGTACAAATACATATGACTGATGTATTTAATATAGATTTGTTAGTAACTATTGAAAGTGATTGTCGACTAAGATGATATACAAAACAACATCGGATAATATGAGTAAGCATTGACAAGATATTAAAGATATAGTTCTAGAAAAAAATATTGAGCATAGTTTCTATAAAAATTTTACATAATAGCTTATTACTATTGTTTTTAAAATTAAATAGATGTATTCAGAATAAACACTCATTTTTAAATTCCTTAGTAAAGTTCTTATAGCTCATTCTTACAGTTCATAGGATAAGAAAAAAAACTTCTTGTATATAAATTCTCGAAACTGTCAAATTATTGAAGAATAATTTTTCATTTCTTCTACGAATTAGTTCTGTTTTATTGCTTACAAAATTAATTATGAGTATTTTGTCTATTTAAAAATAACCAAATATCATGTGGGAACATTTTCACATTGAATATATATTGTTTTTTTTTCCAAGCTCAATCATAGGTCGTTCTCTTATATTTAATTGTGAATCAGATACTGTATGTTCTTCTTTTTCAAAATAAATAAGTAAAAAAATTAGTATCTCTAATAACGATTGCGACAATTTTATTGTTCGTTATTCTAGAAGGTATTCGTGGTCGGAAACGGGTGTGAGTGTGATTGAAATGAAGACTCACACCCACATCTTAATAAAGCAAAATTTTATCATTATGATAAAAAAATAGAGCAGTGGAACAAAAAAGTATGAAACTTATGACAAACGAAATATAAAAGTCATTCTTCAGATACTCTCTGATATTTGAAAATGCTAACAGATAGTAACATTTATCGATTAATGATCTACATTTGTTTCCTATATGAAATGAAAAAAATTTTAAATTTAAAAAAAAACTGAATAATAATAGCACATTTTCTATTCAAACATGATAATTATTCCTTTTAAATCCTATGAAAAAAAACCTGATACATTTACTTGAAATTGATTGTTTGAAAATAATAAAAACTAATTAATGTTCTATTGATAAACTCTGGGAAGAATTAGTTCATTTCAAGAATAATTCTTTTAAATAATTTTAAT